GATCACTGATTGGTCAATCAGTGATCACATGCAAAGTAGTAAGCAAGATGTCACTTGTGACATAATTGCTTACTACGTGTGAAATCTGTGAATGATCACAGAGGTCACATGGTACAAGGCTATTCCACAACAGCCTTGTACCATGTGACAAGCTGTGACCAATCACAGCTCACTCAGTACTTCTCAATGACTGCAAGAATGCAGACAGAGAGAAAGAGAAATGATTGCTTTTACATCCTATATGGGTGTAAAAGCAATCAGTGTAAAAAAAAAAAAAATCTTCATCACCCCCCACAAGTAGTACAGTGTCACCATGGCGACACTGTACTGCTAGGGTGACAGTATGTAAAAATAAAAAATAATAATATAAAAAAATAAAATAAAAATGTAAAAAAAAGTTTACTAAAAAGATAACGGAATAAATTTTGGCCAAGATTTATGATGAAATATTATTTATTTGCAAAATTTTATAAAACAAACCACTTTTTTTCAAACTTTTTGGACATTTTCATTTACATAGCAAAAAAAATAAAAATCCCAGCGGTGAATAAATACCACCAAAATAAAGCTTTATCTGTCTCAAAAAAATGGGAAAAAATTAATTTGGGTACAGTGTTGCATGACCGCGCAATTGTCATTCAAAAAGTGTGATAGCGCTAAAAGCTGAAAATTGCCCTGGTCAGGAAGGAAGTAAAAGTGTCCGGTCTGGAAGTGGTTAACCTGACCCAGTAACAATCGCTCTCATGCTGCAGGTACATAGATTGTGGTTCATTAGCTGGAAAATCTTTGTACAGGGTGCAGCTGAGCGTGGCATTGTTACGCACATGACAGCGCGGTTTTAGATTGGCTAGTCCTTCGGTCACGAGTTGGTGAGAAAGGCTGGGGGTCGGACGACGCGATTGGCACAGTTGGCAACATCTATCTTTTTCTATTCTTCAAGAACAACCTCTTTTAGATCCTGGATGGAGAGTGATGCTCAACTTGTCTCTTCAGAATTCCCCATAGGTGTTAGATTGGGTTCAGATCAGCGGCTACTTGGCCACTGAATCACTTTCACCCTGTTCTTGTTCAGAAATGCAACAGTGGCCTGAGATGTGTGTTTTGGATCATTGTCATGTTGGAAAAGTGCACGATGGTAGAATCAATATAGAGCAGTACATCTGTGAATTCACGGTACCATCAATGAAATGCAGCTCCCTGACACCAGCAGCACTCATGCGGCCCCACAGAAGGGCACTGCCACCACCGTTCGCTGTAGGCACCATGCATTTTTCTTTGTACTCCTCACCTTTGTGACACCATACAATTTTGAAGACATCAGTTCCAAAAACATTTATCTTGGTCTCATCACTCCAGAGTACAGAGTCCCTATAGTCTTCTTTTTTCTCAGAATGGGCCCTGGCAAACTCTAGGTGGGCTTTAGGAGAGGCTTCCTTTGTATACGACACCATGCATGCCATTCCTCTGCAGTGTATGCCATATTGTGTCATGTGAAACATTCACCCCAGTTTGCCTTTCTACTTCTTTAGCTAACTGCAGTGAACTTGCATGGCGATTTTCTTAACCCTTCTCATCAGAGGACGCTTCTGTCGAGTTGCTAACTTCCGTGGACAGCCTGGACGTCTCTGAGAGATGGTTGCAGTTCCATCTTTGTTCAATTTTTGTATCACTTTTGCTACAATATTCTGATTGGCAAGGAAAACTTTGCCGATCTTCTTGTAGTCTTCAGCTTTCTTGTGTAAAGAAATTATTTTCTTTCTCAGGCCTTGTGACATTTCTCTTCCATGTGTATCCATTACTGACAGCATGACATGGGAAGGGATTTTCTTTGTTAAGTAACACCCGTTTATAATAAACTGTCTGCTGGACACCTGTTTAATGAATAATTAGACTCACCTGTAGTTGCATTCTTGTTAATTAGTGTTTTGCAGTCTAAAATTTAGCTTTGTTCCCAAGACTTTCATTGGGGTGTATTCGTTTTTTCAACATGGTCTTGAATGAATTTGTTAGCTAAAATACTTTTTTGTGTCTGCAAATTAACAATGGCCCGCATTTGTGGGAGCATTTTGTAGTATGTCCCATAGAAAATGTTGATTCTGAAAGTAAAGGTTTCGTGAAAAATCTGTTGGGGTGTACTCATTTATGCTGAGCACTCTATCCACACACACACACTTTTTTTTTTTTTTTTTTTTAACAGCCAGCAATCGGCTAGTTAATAAAAGTGATCCAGGCAGCTCTACAGGCACCGATCACTTTTACAGTATTGAGAAGAGCCAACCCCACCCTCCTTACCTGTGTTCCCTGGTTTCTTCTGTGATGGTTTCTTTTGGTTAAATGCTTTGAAGGGCAGGGGAGACATTGGGATCTAATAGACCTCTGATGTATCCATAAAGAGGAGCTATCACTGCTCAAAGCTATCACAGAGGAAACTTATTAGCCCACTTATGATAGCAATAAAGATAAATTAAAAAAAAAAAAAGTTTAAAAATTTTTTTTAAAGCATGACCATTCCTGCGCACACATACATAAACGTGTGTGTAGGATCTACATGTGTATGTAAACAGTGGTTGCACCATACATTTAAGATATCACTGTGAATGTTAAAGTGTAGGAAAAAATTCCAGGGCGATAACTGTACACCGATAACCTGTAGGAGCTTTTAAAGGTTCACCTACAAACCATTTATGTCGCCATTTCTTGGAAGCGTGGAATTTTGAGTCTCGACATATTAGGTATCTATTTATTCAGGGCAAAGTGTACGTATGTGTGTATATATATATATATATATATATATATATATATATTTATTTATATGTATTAAAAAAACAAAAAATATTGGGTATTACATTTTACTGAATACTGAAAATTTGCATTTGATAAACAGCTGTGCAAATACTGTGTGACAGAAAAATTTTCAACAGCCACCATTTTATTCTACAGGGCCTCTGCTTAAAAAAAAAAAATATAATGTTTGGGGGTTCCAAGTAACTGTCTAGCAGAAACTGCAGATTTTAACATAAGAAAGATTTTTTAAAAAATGCCCCAGACAGCAAGTAGTTACTGTATAAACAGCATCATGGACCCATATTTTACATGATTATTACATTCTGTGCTGGTTTACTATATATTTTACAACCATTGCAAATAAAGAATATATCTGTGTGCATACCTAAAGCTGAACACAGCTCAAAAGGGGATGTGAAGGTAAAATATGAAAAAGTCTCAGCAGATTTTAAAGTGGTTCTGCAGGCTCAAGGCTTCTGTGTGCAGGATTCCACCCCCCCCCCCAATACTCACCTAAGCCCCCTGTCAATCCAGCGATGTGCACTGAAGTCTCTCTACTATCCTGGGACTCCCTGTTCTCATTGGCCGAGACAGAAGGAAGAGCCATTTGCTCCCACTGTCCTGCTGCTGTCAATCACAGGCAGTGAGCCAATGAGAAGAGAGAGGGGGCAGGGCCCCACCGCAGCTCCATGTGTGAAGCGACACAAGGAGCAATGGGTGTCCCCATAGCAAGCTGCTTGCTGTGGGAGCATCTGACAGGAGGGAGGGCCAGGAGAGCCTGCATGAGACCCGTGAAGAGGAGGATCCAGGCAACTTTATGCAGAACCACTGCACACAGCAGGTAAGTATAACATGTTTGTTATTTATTCGTAAAAAAAAAAAAAGTCTTCAGAATCACTTTGAGGGTTTTTAGTACAAGTACAGCTGTGTATTCTTCCAAGCAGAGACTTTAGAAGATGCCTTTGGAAAATCTACAGTGCCAAAATGTTATTTTGGTACCTGAAGGAACATGCCATAACATATATTTGCTTGGGTAAGTAAAACTTGGTTAGAGTGTCACAAATCCTTCTAAATGGATTAACGTGTATGTGAAGCCAAAATCTTTTTTTCCCCTTAGTTTTGGAAAGAGTGCGGTATTAAACCCCCCTTTTTTTTATTGTAGTCTCTATTTACCCTGTCTATTTTTCTTGGTCACCATTGTTACAGGAGTGGGCGTGATTTCCAATTCAAACTTTTAAAATTGGCAAACGAATGGGGTGAAGAATGATCTTCCTGATCTTCCAATAGAAAAAGACACTTGTTCTTGTGACAACAGTCTTGGGGATTTCTATTTTGTTTAGAAAGCTATACGCTTATGTTCTGTTATTTCTATGCAACATACAGCAAATAAATAAACAAAGGACAGGAGTTTGAAGCCTAACCAAAATTTTTGGAATATCGGTTTTTCTCTTCATTGAAAAAAGCAAGTTTTCAGTGGTGAACATGTAATGAAATAACGAAACGACAACAATCTTAATATTTCCAAAACAACAACTTTATAACACAACAAAACACAACAAATATTGCACTCACTTGACCCCCGACTTTGACATATAATAAATCAGATATCATACACAGATGCTCCAAATTAAAAATATATTTTCACATGTATACAATTTTATTTGGCAGGCAGTCACAAGATCCACAGAACACATTAAATGTAATACTGTAGGCGATATGCCTATATGAAGGGCTTCCGTGTGCATATGTATCCTCAGGACCATTCCATTGTTTTCACCAGGAATCTGCAACTGAAATGACTTGGACTCAACAACTCTTGAATACAAACTGTTTTGCTCATGGCAGCTAATACTTCATTTTCTAAGCTACACTAGAAGAAAAAAACCTCTCTTCCAATCTGATGAGCTGCCAAGACCCACATTTTTGTTTGTGCTAAAGGTTATAAATGAGCACACAGACTAGCAGAAATAGTAATGCCAAGGTCCTACAACTGGATTACTGCACGGTACAGCCTGTAAAAAACTAGCAGATCTCCTGATTCTCCATTTCAAAAATAACGGAAGCCCCACTGGTAGTTCACTTACCGTGTAAAACACAAAATCCTGAAAGAAGTTTAAACATGAAAAAAGAAAAGAACAAATTATACAACAAACATCAATGATATTATTAGGAAACAATGTGCTTATATATTATTTCCTAAATGTGTACAGAAAGTACTAAAGCTCTTCAGAATCGTGGCCTCCAGAATTCAATGCCTCTGGATGCATGACTCTTCCCATAAACAACACACAGCCTAAAATAGAAGCAAAAACAGATTACAATGGATTTGTAGGGCATGCCTTATTTCAATTTATAAAAATGTGTCAAGCAGAAGCTGGGAAGCGGTGATAAACATGCAAAACTGCTTCAGGAAAGGACGTTATTTGAAAGCATTGCATGTTCACTTGGAGTGTGGATGGGATGAAGTAGGCAGCACGAAACAAAGGTGCCCTAGGGATGATGTATTAAGCAGTACATTGAAGAACAGATGTGCTAGCGATGTTAACAAGAAACTCCATTCAAAATGGAAAAAGTACTCCCCCACCCCACAAGCATTTATGATGACCATTGCTTACTGATAATACACCTTGGGGCAGATTTACTAAGACTGGTGCATTCCGGACCTGGTGCAGCTGTGCATGGTAGCCAATAAGCTTCTAACTTCAACTTGTTCAATTGAGCTTTGACAATAAAACCTGGAAGCTGATTGGTTTCTATGTAGAGCTGCGCCAGATTTTGCACACTTCAGTTTTAGTATATACAGTAAACCCTTTATGTGCAGGCAGCCTATTTCTCCACTGGTGTTCAATACCATTTAGCTGTTCTGCTCCTATTTACTGATCATGCAGCTATTATTTTCTAGAAGATGCAACTCTACCTCATAAAACATCTGCTTGACCTTTTGATGCTGTCTAAATACTACCTCACAGTATTAGTGGATACAATAGTACCAGAACTATAGATAAGGGTGACCGTATACTGTTTTGGATAAGTCACCTCTACGGTGTCTGTGATCGGTCTCTCCTTCACCTCTTCTCCTGTAAGAACTCTTACTTGTAATAGTAATTTTTAAAATTAAGAGCTGTATCCCAGATAAAATCAGTTAATCCAGACAGATATTTATGGGAAAAAAACCAACCTTAAATTGTATTAAATAACATTTTTCTAAAAACTGAATATTTTTTTATGTTGACTTTGATTAATCTCCTACACTGCAGCACACAGATAGGGAGAAGGAATGAGTTGGCTCTACTGCATTACACAGTACTGTCAGCTCAAAACTTAGAATGTACTGCTCCTACACTCTTCAGTCTGCAAGGTGGGTCACAGACCGAGCTGTATTACTTACCTTACTGAGCAGACTGAACAGAATTTCACAAACATCTAGTTAGCTGTTTGCTTGGAGTTCCTTTAAAAAAGTATTGTGCTGGGAGTGATGTGAACCATAATGATGTGTAACAAAAAGAGGGTTTAAATTTTATTGCACATACGGCCTTACTTATAAATGGAAATCTGAGGCTGTATGGCTATGAACATATGTGTTGATGATTTTGTAGCACATTATGGAAGAAATCCATGGCTTCCATTTGGGTGCCACACTCTGTGTGTCTAGGGATGCTCTGGAGTGTACTCGCATCTGTGCCCACGCAGCAAGTGGCCTGCTATGGGGTCACACAGAGCAGAGGAGAAGCGGAGGGAAACCAGAAGAGGAGGTATGAGACCACTTTAATAATACGCTATTTAATACCATTACACAGAAAAGGTAAGAATAAAAAAAAAAAAAAGTGAGCCTTTAGTATCACTTTAAGACTCCCCACCCTTCTGGCTGCTGCTGAATACCTAGGGTAAAGGACACCCAGTGTTGTTTCATTCCATTTTCTGTCAGCCCAAACCGGAATGGATACACCCCTTAGGGTGCATCGTCATGCTGGCCTGGATTCACAGTACTGCTGCACAGAACTAAAACCTGCCATGGATCGGCCAGTTCAACAGGGACTGGATGAATTTCGATCCAGGTATGGGCAGGCTGATTGACTTGTGTACAATCAATTGATTGACTTGTATACAACCAGCCTGTCAGGTTAAAAATCAATATGTGTCGCGCTCCACTAGCAATATACACAAATCAATAAGTGCAAAACCATATAATGAGTCCTTAATAGATTTCCATAACGTGATATTCACGCTATTGCTGCATACATATCTTCACATATCAAGTCCTCAGAAAAAAAATCCTCAAAACAATCTGTGATCTTATAGTGTCTTCTATAATATATTAAAAAATAAATAAATAAAATATAGTCCGCCAAATTTAAATATATATGCTGTGCTCCTTCACCAGTTGTGCTCTCACCTGATGTATATGACCAAACCATTAAGTGAGGTCATATAAGCTTGTGTCCCTTTAAGTGGGCCCAGATTTGGACATATGGATGAATCCCTGTATCCTAGATAGATGGATGGACGGATGGATGAAGTTTTTTTCCTTTTTTCCAGCAGGGGGTCTCGCCGTTATCAAGAGATCCTTTTCCTCAGTATGGATGGATGGATGGAGTTATCCCTCTTCCCACTAGGGGGTCTCTTGGCTCCTTTCAGACTTTGTCCTCCATATATGTGTATTTCCTTCCATCTCTCCCAGGCACGTCTGTTCCCAGGTTTGAGATCAGGTTTTTCTTGAATGATCAGTTGTGCTGCCTATAGCTGCGAACACTGATCATTGTATTCGGATAGTGGGGAAGGCCCCCCCCCCTATCAGAATACAATACCACAGCAGGAAGATTGCCCCATCATCATCCAGTGTGTGAATAGGGGAACTGAATCATTTTTTTTTTTTGTTCAACCTGCTGGCTGAGCAAAAAAAAAAAAAAAAAAAAAGGATCAATGTATGGGTTGCCTTACACATTATTACCTGAGCATCATTCTGTACATTAGTAAGGAATGCCCACCACCATAAGACAGTGGAGGGAGAGGACCCTGTTATGTGACCATAGATAAGAAGCCAGAACAACAAAAAACTGTATGTATACTAAACAAAATACTTGTTGGGAATTGGGGACATTGTGCCAAAGCTAGAGTTCAGCTTTATCAGCAGAAATATCTCTTTTTATACCTTTTTATTAGTGTAAATTCCAGCTCCATTTTCCCATTAAAATGTAGATGCTCTTACACATGATCAGAGTATATAATCTGCTCCAGGATGCACAGATTTCATAAACATTAAAATGAATGCACCTCAAAACAGGTAAATGCACAGTGGTAATCATACCATCTAAAGTGGTTCTAAAGGCTCAAGGTTTTTTACCTTCCGGCATTCTATGCATGAAGGTAAAAAAAACTTTCTGTGTGCTGCAGCCCCCCTCCCCCCCCCCAGAAGGTAAAAAACCTGTGTGCTGCAGCATCCCCCCGCACAATATTTACCCCCCCCCCTCAGTCCAGGGATGTCCACAAGAGCCTCGGCTCTCCAGGGACTCTCACTCCTGATTGGCTGAGGCAGCAGCCAGTGAACGAATCAGGAGAAGGAGGGGACGGGGCCGACTCATGGCTGTGTGTGAGTGAATGGACACACAGAGCCGCGGCTCGGGAACAAGCATCCAGTGGTGCACCCTGGGGGCACTCAGCAGGAGGGAGGGGCCAGGAGCGCTGGCAGGGGACCCGAGAAGAGGAGGATGCAGGCTGCTCTGTGCAAAACCATTGCACAGAGCAGGTAAGTAAAACATATTTGTTATTAAAAAAAATAAATACACACTCATTGAATCTAACTACAAAACACTTCTTCAGTGGTATCTGGTCCCTACAGATCTTGCTAAAATGTACCCTTCTGTGTCAACCAGCTGTTTTCGACATTGTGGACAAGAGGGTACTATGCTCCACATATGGTGGAAATGCCCTGTGGTGAGTAGGTTTTGGATCAGTTTATTTAATTTCCTTTATTCGGTAACGGGGGTTAATATTTGTCGACTCCCTGAAATAGCTCTATTTCATTTATTGCCCGCTGATATGTCTAAGAAATCGATTAAATTGATTCTTTATAGCCTGTTGGCGGTGAGAATTACTGTCAGGGCTCCCAGGTGTGACCAGAGGTGTGTGGCTGACGCAGGGAAACGCAGACCTCAGGTATGTTATAAACAATATAATTTATTAACACTAACAATACAAACATAAACGCAGTGCAATACTAAAACATAATACAGTGCAACCAAACCAAACCAACCACCCACAGATAACAGTACATACAAGCAAGCGTCGTCAGGCAGGCCGGGTCAATATCAATAGGGCAGGTAGGTACAGGGGGAGCAAGCGGAGATTGGTCGGGGTCACAGGCCAGGTTCAGCAGGTAGCAAGCAGCGTAGTACAGAGGGTCAGGCAGAGGGATGGTCAGGGTCACAAGCCAGGGATCAGAACAGGAGAAGTCAGCAGCGGTTCAGAAACAGGATGCAGGACAGAAACAGGATACAGGGCCCAGGACAAACACAACACCAAGGCAGAGTCTGTGGGTCTGGCCATCCCTTAAATACCCCAGCATAATCAGTTCCAGGTGTTAGCTGGCTGCAAAGTTGAGTCTCTGATTGCTGGGAGCATCCGCTGGCCAGCCCTGGTACTGCAGATCAAAAGGCAGGTGAGTCCCACCATTGCTGGCCAGTCCATTCCTGACAGTATCCCCCCCTCAAGGAGCGGCCTCAGGACGCTCCAAACAGTCCTAGCTAGGAAAAATGTTCCACCGCCCGGGTCTGGTAACTGGCGGGATATCAAAGACTGGCACACCGGGCAGGACTCCGGGCAGAGGCACATCGGGCTGGACTCCGGGCAGAGGCACACCGGGCTGGACTCCGGGCAGAGGCACGGGCTGGACTCCGGGAGGCACATCGGGGCTGGACTCCGGGCAGAGGCACATCGGGCTGGACTCCGGGCAGAGGCACATCGGGCTGGACTCCGGGCAGAGGCACATCGGGCTGGACTCCGGGCAGAGGCACATCGGGCTGGACTCCGGCAGAGGCCATCGGGCTGGAGGGCAGGCACATCGGGCTGGACTCCGGGCAGAGGCACATGGGCTGGACTCCAGAGGGCAGAGGCACATCGGGCAGGGCACATCGGGCTGGACTCCGGGCAGAGGCACATCGGCTGGACTGGGCAGAGGCACATCGGGCTGGACTCCGGGCAGAGGCACATCGGGCTGGACTCCGGGCAGAGGCACATCGGGCTGGACTCCGGGCAGAGGCACATCGGGCTGGACTCCGGGCAGAGGCACATCGGGCTGGGCACTCCGGGCAGAGGCACATCGGGCTGGACTCCGGGCAGAGGCACATCGGGCTGGACTCCGGGCAGAGGCACATCGGGCTGGACTCCGGGCAGAGGCACATCGGGCTGGACTCCGGGAGGCACATCGGGCTGGACTCCGGGCAGAGGCACATCGGGCTGGACTCCGGGCAGAGGCACATCGGGCTGGACTCCGGGCAGAGGCACATCGGGCTTACCCGGGCGAGGCACATCGGGCAGGCAGAGGCAGCGGGCTGGACTCCGTCACCGGGGCTGGACTCCGGGCAGGCAGGCACCGGGCCCCGGGCGGGCGGAGGGCAGCAGGCACATCGGGCGGGCCCCCGGGCGGAGCAGGGCTGGACAGGCACTGGGCCCCGGGCGGACGGGCAGCAGCAGGGCACCACCGGGCCCCCGGGCGGAGCAGCAGGCACCGGGCCCCCGGGTGGGGCGAGCAGCCGGCATCGGGCCCCCAGGCGGAGCAGCAGGCACCGGCGGGGCGGAGCAGCCGGGCCCCACCGGGCCCCCGGGCGGCGAGGCAGGCATCGGGCCCCAGGGCGGGGCGACATGCATCGGGCCCCCAGGCGGGGCGCAGGCAGGCCCGGGCCCGGGCCCCCGGCGGGGGGACGACAGGCATCGGGCCCCCAGGCGGGGCGACAGGCATCGGGCCCCCAGGCGGAGCGGCGGGCGCCCCAGGACAGGCCCCAGGCCCAGGCGGAGCGACAGGTCTCGGGCCCTCAGGCGGAGCGGCGGGCGCCGGACCCCCAGATGGAGCGGTCTCAGGGCTCGGGCCCTCAGGCGGAGCCCCAGATGGAGCGACAGGTCTCGGGCCCCAGACGAAAGCGGCGGGCACCGAGTCACCAGGCACGACAGTGGGCACCGAGTCAACTGGCGGAACAGCGGGCATCGAGTCAACTGGCGGAACTGCGGGCACCGAGTCGTCTGGCAAGACTGCGGGCACCGAGTCGTCTGGCAAGACTGCGGGCACCGAGTCGTCTGGCAAGACTGCGGGCACCGAGTCGTCTGGCAAGACTGCGGGCACCGAGTCGTCTGGCAAGACTGCGGGCACCGAGTCAACTGGCGGAACAGCGGGCATCGAGTCAACTGGCAAGACTGCGGGCACCGAGTCGTCTGGCAAGACTGCGGGCACCGAGTCGACTGGCGGAACAGCGGGCACCGAGTCGTCTGGCAAGACTGCGGGCACCGAGCCATCAGGTATCGGATTGTCTGGCTCGACAGCGGGCATCGGGTCACCAGGTATGACAGCGGGCACTGGGTCACCAGGCATCAGGTCATTTGGCTTGCCAGCGGGCACCGCGTCATCTGGCAAGGCAGTGGGCACCGGGTCACCAGGTATGACAGCGGGCTCTGAGTCAATTGGCACGACAGCGGGCACTGGATCAGGTACCGGATCATCTGGATCAACAGCGGGCATCGAGTCAACTGGCCTAATAGGATCGTCGGGCTGGATCAGTTCATCATGCTGAGTAGCGGCATCAGGCTGAGTAGAGGCTTCAGGCTGAGTAGAGGCTTCAGGCTGAGTAGAGGCTTCAGGCTGAGTAGAGGCTTCAGGCTGAGTAGAGGCATCCGGCTGAGTAGAGGCATCCGGCTGAAGAGAGGCATCCGGCTGAAGAGAGGCATCCGGCTGAAGAGAGGCATCCGGCTGAAGAGAGGCATCCGGCTGAAGAGAGGCATCAGGCTGAAGAGAGGCATCAGGCTGAAGAGAGGCTTCAGGCTGAGTAGATGCTTCAGGCTGAGTAGAGGCTTCAGGCTGAGTAGAGGCTTCAGGCTGAGTAGAGGCTTCAGGCTGAGTCACGGAAGGCAGGTTCACCGGTTTGGATACTGGCAGGATGGTATTGGTTGGAAAGAATTTTCGCTTTTTTCTGGTTTTAACTACTGGAGCACTGCAAGTAAACGCAGGTCTGCAAACGAATGGAGCAGCTGGAGACAGAGAAAAACTGGAGGATGGAACAGGAGAGGGAGCAGTTGCTACAGAGGGCTTTTTTACAGGGTTAAAGGCAGGATAGGTGCAGCGAGTGGGAACAGGGTACTGACATGCGGTAGATAGCCAAGTATACTGGGCTGTAACTGGAGGAGCTGGTGGGAATACAGGAGTAGAGTTAGAAGCAGGACTGGGTTTTTGTAAGCTGACTGAGGCTGGGTGCAACAAGTCTGTCCATGTCTGCAGTAGGGGTTGAACAAAGCTGAGCTTACACAAAGCCTGTCTGGTCAATGACTGCACTGCGTTTATACAATCTCTTAGTGTCTGTGGTGAACATGTGGAATAACGCTCCAGAAAGTAACCCACATCATCCTCTAATAACCACACCAGGGACTCTACCTGGTCTGCACTAAATGGTGGCAAAAATTCATCCCTGCATTCGGGGGAACCAGATGAAACCAACTCAGCACAAACCTCAATCAAAGGCTGCACCTCAGAGAACTCTGTGCCCTGATCTACTAGAACATGAGCGAGCCGTATACATTCTAGTAGTTGATCCCTGGGATACTCCTTCAGAGTTTGATAAGCATACTCCCTGTCATCAAACACTAGCAGATATAAATACACAACCTCATCCAGATCCATCCTTCCCAGCAACAAGCCAAGATGGCTTCCCTGTGCAGCCACTTCTGGTCAGGATTGGCCTTGGTGTAATGTCAGGGCTCCCAGGTGTGACCAGAGGTGTGTGGCTGACGCAGGGAAACGCAGACCTCAGGTATGTTATAAACAATATAATTTATTAACACTAACAATACAAACATAAACGCAGTGCAATACTAAAACATAATACAGTGCAACCAAACCAAACCAACCACCCACAGATAACAGTACATACAAGCAAGCGTCGTCAGGCAGGCCGGGTCAATATCAATAGGGCAGGTAGGTACAGGGGGAGCAAGCGGAGATTGGTCGGGGTCACAGGCCAGGTTCAGCAGGTAGCAAGCAGCGTAGTACAGAGGGTCAGGCAGAAGGATGGTCAGGGTCACAAGCCAGGGATCAGAACAGGAGAAGTCAGCAGCGGTTCAGAAACAGGATGCAGGACAGAAACAGGATACAGGGCCCAGGACAAACACAACACCAAGGCAGAGTCTGTGGGTCTGGCCATCCCTTAAATACCCCAGCATATTCAGTTCCAGGTGTTAGCTGGCTGCAAAGTTGAGTCTCTGATTGCTGGGAGCATCCGCTGGCCAGCCCTGGTACTGCAGATCAAAAGGCAGGTGAGTCCCACCATTGCTGGCCAGTTCATTCCTGACAATTACGATAGCCAAACATGGGAAACAGTCAGCAATCTCGCTGGACTTAGTCAAACAGAAACTTAATTGGGTTATGATTAATGATAAACTTGCTGGTATACTTAACAACAATTTAACGGACTCTTGGCTGGCCCTCTCTATTATTTCTTTTCAGGGTTTTATTCTTTATTTTCTTCTTCAGTTCTTTCCTAATTTTTTGTTCTCTATATTTTTGACTATTATTTTAATGATATTATTCATACCACCTTGTTTATGGAGCAATTTGCTCACAATTGATCAAACTTTGATGATTGTGCTACCAGTGTATTCCTCATTACGCTTTATTGGTCGATTTTGTTGTTATGTTGCTACACATTGTACTTGAATTTACTATTTTATTGCTTATGTTCTGCAACTCGTCATGTTGGTGGGTTGCGTCTCCTGTCTTTCTGTATAATGTTTCTAAAAATCCTTAATACATATATTGAAATATAAAAAAAATAAATACAACAGTTTAATATCACTTTAAAATAATTACATGCATTTAGAAATGTCCTATACAGGAATATTAATCCATATATTTGCATGCGAATGAGGTCTAAGAGGTAAAGCATTTACTAGCACGACACACAGGTATTCCAAATTCAGCTGTCCCTGACCTGACTCAAATATAAAAACTGGTTGCTACAGTTACTGCTAAATTTCGCTAGTAAATTTATGAATCTTAGTTTGAGTCAATTGAGACTTTTCGCTTCACCTTAATATGCTCATGATGTCTGATCTGAATAATTACACCATTCATTAATCGTGGGAATCGGCACAGCCAAAACATGCATATACCAGAGAATAAGATACTGCATGTAAGATATTCCAGACTGACTCATCTTTAACTTTCACTTTTATATATCTTCACTGCTCTTTGAATTTCTCCATCAAATAAGCCCGATAGAGTTACGTATACAGTAACCTGCAATGTAATTAATTCTTTTTTACATGTAGCGTTTCCTTTAAATGTAGAAAACTCTGCATCATGCCATGGGAATGGTAAAGAGTTCATTGCATTTGGCAGCACTACATACACTACAGGGAACCACAGCACTAAGTCATACAAAGATTAGGATACAACTCACCGGTTTTGCGGTTTCTAATCACGAAGAAGAATGGATGGTCAAAAATAACCTGGGGGTACAGCACTGCCATTCTGCTATTGGCAATCATTCCTATAGTGACACAACAGAAGACATTAAACCCACATTATGCCACATTAGTTAAGCTTCATGTGACACTTTCTTCATTTCAGAGTCACTGCATATATCATCTGTTGCAGCCCTTTGGGTTCTGTTTTAAAGAGGTCATAGATAAAATGCTTAGTGACATTTAATTAGAGGAAAATGAAATGAAAGAAATACAAAGGGTGCCATTGCTGACCTCCTAAAAATGCTAGTTGCCTGGATGCCTATACCTCAATATCATCCCTAACCAAAAAGAAACGCATGTAAGCTTGTAAAAATTAGAAGATTATCAGAACTCTATCATAGTTCTTGTGAGTCAGTGGCTCAAAATGGAATAATGCCTTTGGATTGGCATAACCTTGAAGCAACTAGCATTTTCAAAAGGGGTGCTCAGCATTGGCAGCCTGTTCATTTTCTTCATACAGGTTTCCTTTAACTGCGGATATAAAGACCCACCCACTTCCACTAAACCTCACTCTCTTTCTCCTCACTTTGCTGTGGTTGGTGCAGAAGACTGCGCCACCCACAACAAGCTCAAGGAATTGGCCTGTAGTTCCTTCCTGTTTGAGTGAGGTAGGGCAGCTTATACTGTATATGTACCAGAGTATCTTGATGAAAGTAAAGCTGGCCATACAAGGAATAACATGTGTCCAGTTTTGGACCAGCTGAATTTCAATCCATGTATGGCCACTGTGGTTGAACAAAACCCAATCTATTCAACTACCCTGCTGGAAACACTAAATCAGCACTGTAGGTTATAGACTGCAGCGCTGATCTGTGTATTTTGGTGGCGAGGAAGTCTCCCTGCTGTCATAATACAAAGACATAGATTTTACTTGCCATAAAAATCATCTCTTTTTGGAGTTGAAAAAGGAACTCAGGGTTAACTCTGATACAAGGAGGATTATACTGCTGCATACACTGAACACTAGCCAGCAAAGCTGTTAGACCACCAGATATAACAATCCCACTACCATGAAAGCTGCAGTTTTCTGGAAAGAGCAATAGTAGGAGTGGAGCATAACAACAGAGGGGTGGGACCTGTGTCCCCAAATAAATTCTATAAAAGGATATTACATTAAGTACAAAAATCCTATTTCTTTATTGTTCATTAGGGGACACAGGATTAATTATTCTGCTCCAAGAAGTCTGTCCAAAAGCAGTCCAACTGAGAGGCAGGCAACACAGCAAACAAAATACCAACAAAACAACTGGGAACACCCGCAGCTCAAATAGTTGCTTCAAGGAGCAGGTATTAGAAAAGGACTGAGCATTCACCTGGTACAATTTAGCGAACATGAACAGGAGATCAGGTGGCAGCCTTGCAATTCTTAGAAGCACATGCCTAATGCTAAAAGGCCCAAGAGACACCCACTGATCTAATAGAGCAAACCTTGATGGGTGAAAACTTTGTCCTCAAGCCTATAGGCTTGAATAATAAGCAACCTAAGCCATTTAGCAATAGTTGGGGAAGGGGGCAAGCTGTCCCTTCTGGGAACCCTAGGCAATGAAGAAAAAAGTGAGTCCATTGGAAGAAAGGCCGAGAGAGCGTGTGCACATACAGGAAGTGGTGCACATAATCATAGTGCGGCAACACGAGGCTCATGCAAACTCAACAGAGCAAGTGGTAATTTCAAAATGGCATGCACAGACTTAGAAGAGTTAACACTGGGAGTCAAATCCAAAAATGGTGCAATGCCCTGCTCCTGCCAGCAACTTGCGACCATAAAGTGTTGCCACCTGAGCTTCAGTGTTAACTTTTTTAGGGATGCAATTGAAGCAATAGTACCAAGCACATTAGTCTCCCTTAAAAGAGCAAGGACCTTAATGTGTGGCAGCAGCGGTTGAGAAGATTCCCTTCTGCCCCCACAATGCAGAGAAGCTGGAAAGGGCTAGGCTGTATCCAGAGGAACATGTCCAAGGCAAAGTTATCATCCCCCCTCCCTAAAGAGTCTTCAAGGACAAGGTTCTACCAGTGGGGGTACCATGGTCCTGGAACTGTAAAGCACTCTACGTGTAATTCAGACAGTAAACCAGATGCCTTGGAGAGGGCCCACAGCATAGCCCAGTGCTCTAGGGCAATATCCTGGCACAGCCTCAAACACTACATTGAGGATCAGCCGTTCCCAAAAACAAAAGGATCTTGATAGCAGAACCAGGAAATCTTGATAGCAATGGAAATTATCTTGTAGAAGGGATTTTGCTTCTCTCAGAGAGAGAAGATGTCGATTCTCCTAGGCACTAGCAAATACAACTGGAGCTTGATGAGAGTGGGAGTGGTTATATCTGGCTGACTAACAGCATTGCTTGCTAGTGTCTAATCTCCTGTAGGAACGGTATAATTTTCTTATCAGAATGAACCCTGTGTCCCTTAATAAATGATAATATATATATATAATAAAGGATTTTATCCTTCACAGAGACCAGTAGAAAGATTTTGTCATAAGTTTCTGTCAAAGCCCTTTGACACAAGACTATAAAAGATGTCACCTTTTGCAGTTGGACTCCCTAATATTTACATAAATTTGGAGACTGTCTCTTAGATTTTTCTTTGCAGTGCTTTGCAGAGGATTCTACTGAGGAGATCTCACCACTGGAGTCACTGGGAGAAAAGTAGCCAGAATGTAACATATCCAATGAAAATATCAGCTTTTAATAGTGTTGCCCTTTAAACATGTTTGGGTTAGTATTTTTGTATGTTCTAAATAGCAGGGTTCAGTACAGTATGTGCAGTAATGCAAAGCTAATGTCATTTCCATGGAAGTCAAACAGCAGGAACAAACACTTAAATGACAATCTTTTAAAAATGCTAATTAAAGCAGCATTTTAAATAAATGAGAAGTCTCCCACAGTGAGCTTTACAATCATCCTGGGATACATTAAATACAGAAGAGTCCATTCTTTATAAGCACTTTACCAAGACGAAAAGAGTACTTACTATCACATACCAGGATGAAGTATGTACACTAGATTCATAATTGCCCAATAATGATAAAAAAAAGCCTAATTTACCTAAACAAGTTATCCATTAGACAGTGAGATTCAGTTAAAGTTTTGTCACTATTGTTAACCACTTGAAGTCTGAAAGACACACTGCATTTCCCATACTCACTATTAAGTGTGTTCTGATTTTACTACAGTACCAAAAGGTGTTTGTCTTTAATGCAGGTAACAAGAGAAGTTTTTTTTTTTTATAACTCGATGTCCATAGCTACATGAACTGGAAAGAGCCAGACAAATCTAGAAAACATTTAGGGCACTGCCACAACACGTCTCCAGGTCCAGTGAACCTAATAGACTTATTGGAAAATGTAGCTGGACAGCTGAGACTGAACATTTCAGATTTTTATATTAGAACTTGAATTGGATGGTCATCACTACACTGAAGAACGGCCATGCGATACTGTACCAGAGGTTGCAGCAGCTTCAGATCCCTCTTCATTAACCTCCAAATAAGACTTGTGAACAGCTTTGTCCACGTAAAGGTCCTTGTGTTCTGGAAATAAGCACAAAAGGTAAAACTGGTTAGCTTTCTTGTTACTTTCCACTTGTTCATATTTTTTGTACAGCAACTCAGAATATTAATGACCCCTTTTAACACTTTCAGGGGAAATACTTCTTGACAACGATTGAATGATGAAGCCTAGATAAATTAAAGCAGTTATTCTTACACACTGCACGTTATGCAACGTGCACACATGCAAAAGAACAATTTTAAGTACATTTCCATTCTATTTATTCTCAAGCATACCAAACAAATAAGACCTGTGTGGATATTACTCCATACATTATTAATGCACTGTGTCATATAATAAATAATAAAGATAAATGCAAGTTATAAAGTACAGTGACAACAAAATGAGCAGGAAAATGGAAGTTACAAATACCACAAAGGTATCATACCGGATATTGCAGACAGATCAGCTTTTCTTCCGAATATCTCTATAATGCCAAGTCTTGTCAGCACATCCTTCAGATTGACAGTCTCCTCAACTTTGAACCTGTAAGATAAGTTATCCAAGATCAAAACAGCATTATATTCAAATATTTCCATCATTATATTAGGTAATTGAGCAAAAATGCAATCTACTGATAATACTGAACATTCCTGCCTATATAAGGGTGTGTGTGTGTGTATGTTAGTATATATATATATATATATATATATATATATACACACACATACATATATATATATATATACACACACACACACACACACACAGTATCTCACAGAAGTGAGTACCCCCTCACATTTTTGTAAATATTTTATTATATCTTTTCATGTGACAACACTGAAGAAATGACACTTTGCTACAATGTAAAAGTAGTGAGTGTACAACTTTTATAAAAGTGTAAATTTGCTGTCCCCTCAAAATAACTCAACACAGAGCCATTAATGTCTAAATAGCTGGCAACAAAAGTGAGTACACCCCTAAGTGAAAATGTCCGTATTGGGCCCAAAGTGTCAATATTTTGTGTGACCACCATTACTTTAGAGCACTGCCTTAACCCTCTTGGGCATGGAGTTCTCCAGAGCTTCACAGGTTGACACTGGAGTCCTCTTCCACTCCTCCATGATGATATCACGGAGCTGGTGGATGTTAGAGACCTTGCGGTCCTCCACCTTCCGTTTGAGGATGCCCCACAGATGCTCAATAGGGTTTAGACATGGAGACATGCTTGGCCAGTGTATCACCTTTACCCTCAGCTTCTTTAGTAAGGCAATGGTCGTCTTGGAGGTGTGTTTGGGGTCATTATCATGTTGGAATACTACCCTGTGTCCCAGTCTCCGAAGGGAGGGGATCATGCTCTGCTTCAGTATGTCACAGTACATGTTGGCATTCATGGTTCCTTCAATGAACTGTAGCTCCCCAGTGCCGGCAGCACTCATGCAGCCCCATACCATGGCACTCCCACCACCATGCTTGACTGTAGGCAAGACACACGTCTTTGTACTCCTCACCTGGTTGCCGCCTCTGTCCTCCTAAAATTGCTTTCTACTTTGTGTGCCTAGACACTCCTGTGCTTTGAGCCTCAAAGCAGTGTATTTGCAGAGTGAGATCATGTAAATCAGTGCTGCCTCTGATTGCTAGTCCCACTAAATCTGGAATGAGATTTGAGGATGTTGCAACTGTGCTGCCCAGTTGTTCTTGCCAGAGAGGAATTATACCTGAAGACAAGCATCTCTCTGCTATTTCTCCATTCAAGTCAGTAACAGGGTAAACACCAGTTGCAGGGTGACAAAGGCAATACAGGTACCTAGTATTATCCTCTCACTGCTTTTTTTCACAGGATTCACAGTTTAGGTCCTCCTTAAATATTTTCAGAATTTACTCTGGCACGGTTTACATAGGCCTTTTGTGCTATTGAAGATGCAATTCTGGTCTCCAAATTTGCTTTGGAAAATGCACCAAAATGAATGGAAATCTACAAAACATTAAAATGCCTTGTTTTTTTCTGAAATATTTTCCAGAGGTGTTGAATTGTTACAGTTAATTTTCCTCTCTCTCTCACACTACTAGCATACCAGAATTTCAGGAGTAATTCGTATTAAAGCACGACTAAACCTGCTGATATAATGGCTTTCCAAAATGGTTACATTCAAGGCATGTCTCTGATAACTATCACAGTTGGCATGGTGCTTATGTGAGGTCTCATCTGGACATTCAAGCCATCAAATGGCTGGGATCATAGCTGATCACATGTGCAGCACTATGGCCACAGCAGTTCAAACAGAGGATAAGATGGCAGCGTCCTTGTCTGTATAGAATAGGAGGGGTTAGTTCCACTTTAAGGGTACAATATACCACAGTATGACAGCAGTAAGCCTCTGACATTTACCAATCCTTGAATCCACTGCAATCTTTTACAAACTTGGCCAATGTATTGTGTTTAAATCATCTTGTAAAGATATAGCAAAAAGTGGTGGCTCTGGCACATGTACTGTATGAAAATACAAAAAACCTCCTCTAATTTAAGAAATTCCCCTTTAAGAAAATGTTTGCTAACTCCCAATCCATATTAGTTAGCCATGCAGGTGCAACATTTTGTGGGCTGGGGTAAGGGGATCCACTAATCATTTTATAAGTGTATGAGTGTAAGAGTTAGGTATATTATCCCATAGTCAAACAAGAAGTGAGTGGAAATTCCTGAAAGTTAAAAAGGTCACCAGAACTAGTGTCCCCATTAAAACATTTCTCCACTATTACTTTTCTGGGGACAATACAAAATGTGTTTTTTTTTCACTTTCAATAATAGTGGTAAACAGGACAAATAGAGAGGGTGCATTTCCTTAACGGGAGCATAGACAGCAATAAAAACTGACAGAGGTGCTACTTCCTCCCCACTATCAAAAATAAAGAAAAAACGGTTTTGCCTTTAGTTATACTTTAGGACATATGCAATGGGATTGCTTTACTAAATGCAAATAGGCTGTCAAGTTTTCATTTGCAGTTTCACAAATTTTCACCAGAGCTTGGTGCATGTGGTGAAGCTTCACTTTGTAAAAAATACCCAATCAGGGGCGAGGAGAAAAAAAGAAAAAAAACAAAAAGAAACAAATTTTTTCTTGTACATGATTGGATTATGTAAATCAGCAGAGCTTCATCACATTCACTATGCTTTGTGGAAAAGGAGTTCAACTGTACAGTCTATTTGCCTTTAGTAAATAAAGCTCAATGCCAAACAGGGGTGGTCAGAGATAATATGGATAATTTCCTCTGTCTCTAGATCAGCAGAAAGTCTCCCTATTCACTTTATACAGCTGGCCTTCAGAATATTTCTAAATGTACTACATGTAAACATACCCTGGGAGATTTCATAAATTTTATTTGGAGATGTCCTAAGTTTGTATGATATTGGAAAGATGTCGTTCAACATACTAATGTTACTTTTAAACTAAATGTTAAATACAAAACCAATTGAGTACTGTCCATGATACTTAGTTTGCACCAACATCCAAATGTTCAGGACAAGCTTTTGGGGTGTACCGCCTTCTTCAGGGTCAAAGCAATAGTAATACACAAAGTTTTACCAGATTGTTAAGTAAGATAATCTAAGGGAGAAAAAAACCCCACAAAAACATACATACACAGCAATGGTACTTAAACTTTGATAGTAAAAGAAGGAAGAGTCAGGGCTATGGACTGGGAGGGGAGAAGAGTTTCAGAGGTGAGAGTAGTAGTTATAAAACTGTGGGATAGCAATTTAGAAAACATTTAGTCCATTTTCTTTTGTTTCAAACAGAATTATTCTTAGCTCAAACGTTTTCTTTTCCTTAGTATTTGGGAAGTTCCCTTTAAGAACAAAATATTCATATCTTTCATAGAATGGCTACAACCATCTCAATGTTGCATGTAATCCATATAATTGTATTTTTAAAGGCATGTTTAGATTCTAGAGAATCAAGTTAATTGGAGATATGGTAATTGTTTCTCATTAGAAAAATGTGCAAAAGGTGGATTTTGCCACATCCAGTGACAGTGGTGGAATAAATATCAGCAATTTAAATTTCAAAATTAGAAGTTGTCTGTTAAACAGAAATTTTTTTTCTGGACCAGTGGGCTAGGTTAGAGTAATATGACTAATATTTTAAAATTTGTAAGGTTGGGTTTAGTTTGGTATTTTTATTTTGTAGATGAATGATGTGAGTTGCTCTGTAAACACCCATTTTTGTCATTCCCAAAGCACTAGTAAAGTAATACATTTCTATTTTCATGATTCAAATTTCCAACATAAGGCAGGGTTGTTCTCTGAAATTGCATGGGTTAGGTGTCTGGCATTCTTGACTTGCAGTCCTAGAGTCTTGAGTTCACAATGTGGATTATATTTGAAGGATTTCTACATGTTTCCTGTAGATTGGTCTATTTCTTCCACAATCCAAAAACATACAGGTAGTAAGAAGCTTTCCACTCTGTGGTTCTAATGTCAATCTTTATATGACTGTGGTATGTACTTTAAACTGTAAGCGGGTTCAGGACAAGAACAGACACAAATGATACATAACATACACAATAAATATATTAAAAACATCTGGTATTGAACAGGGCTGTAAAATAAATTTAGTTACTCAAGACAAAATGTCACACTATAGGTCAGGCCAGAGGTAGGCAATCTAGAATGTGTTTTATTTACTTAAAGTACAATCAAAATTGATATGTAGAAATCTTTGCTATAAATACCTAATTTGCAAACTGATTTTGTATCATTGATGATCCTCTGATTCTGATCGGTCAACTGATTTGCTCATTTCTACAGCAGATTGCATCGATCTGTCACCATAGAATTAGAATGGTTAAATCCCTTGCTGTAGATTGTTCAGTGAATGATCTTGCCATGTATGGATACTCCGATTGCACAGACACCGCTTTTTTTTTTTTTTTTTTTTTTTAAATCGGCAAGTAAGAGTATGGATACTTGCACTAAAGTATTCGCCAATACCAATACCTTTGGGGTGCAATATGAGCTAATACAAAATGAATGGGCTCAAATCACACTGCAAAGAATCGCATGTGATTTGAACAGAAATGCAGTGCTATTCTTGTCCAAAGCACATACAGTTTCTCTGTGAGTGCAGTGGGATTTGCAGTGCAAATTGATCCATTTTGTATAGCTCAAAACACATGGCACCCACAGGGAAACAGCATGGGATTTAGATAGGAATCACATGCGATTCTTTGCAGTATGATTTGAGCCCATTCACTGCAAAGGTATTGGTTTTAGATATTCAAGCATTTGCACAAGTATCGGTGCAACCCTAATGGATACCTAAACATATAGTAAGTAGTTTAAAAAAGCCATGCAATATAAGTATATTCTTAGTATGAAGGTAATTAGGCCCCAAGAGTCCAGTGTCAATTAAAAGCTTTAAGAGGTAACAAAGCCTGCATGCCCAGAACATAAATTCAAGCAGCATAGGTAATGTAGGTGATGCAGAGGTAATATAAGACATCAAATTCAAAACCAATTCTCCAAACACCAAAATATCAAACAATTATGA